AACGCTCCATAGTGTAGCAAGAAACTAGGATCTATGAGAATGGGAATAACTACTTCTAAAAATATATGTTCTTTTATGATAATAATAAAATAATTAGACCTTATGGCTCCAAAGAAACCTAAGACTGTTGTACAAGACTAACTTAACCCGCCTCCCTAGTAACTCTGATTATGGCCTAGGGCACAATCACGAGATATTCCACAGAAGTAACCAAGAAATTGAATAACCTTTCTCAGAACAAAAGCCGTGTCTGAGTTTGATGTGTTTTTAAGGATACATAAAAATAAGAAAAACTTTGACAACATGAAGCACTGGGCTAAGTTCTAAACTACCATATTATTTGATAACAGCAACAGGGTGTTACCTATTTAAGACGATGTTATGGCTGCTTGACATGACACCAATCCTACAGCTCAATAGCCTATCACGGCAGGTTAGGTGACTTTAATAAAGGGACTAGTCCTTATATTTGACTTGGGACAAGAGAAAAATGATTACTGGACATGCACATTGATGTGAGAAGTTGTACTTTTGGCGGTCACTGGCGAAAACAGGAAATGGCCAGTGATAGGGAAGATGATATACAGTATGTTATGTTAGAGCTGCAGCCGAGATGAGGGCTACTCACCACTCTCCATCTCATTGCCTTTCTTTGCGGTGGGCGTGTTGCCCATGATGGCAGTCTGGTGGCTGGGTCCCCGGGTTCGGCTTCACTTCTGTACAAGTCCTTATGTGATGCTGCAAAGCCAGCTATCTTAGCCTCTCGATCGCGAAGCTGACAGCAATCTACTAGCTAACAGCTATCATTATTGACTAAAGAGTAAATTCTTGCAGTTGTACTTTGAATTGGCTTGTGTAGAAAACCCCACCAATGCAAGAAGTCCTTAGCTAACACGAAGGATATTGGCTAGCCTGCTAGTTAGCACGACGGCTAACTATAAATGTGAATATCAGCTTGAAAAGATTTAGCTTCACAAAAGCCAAACAAAAATCGCTGGCACAAAAAGTCAGTAAATTAGCATGAATTCCCTCCGTGTGGTGTGCATTCAGGGTATAGTTCAAGGCAAGGTTTGGGGAGAGCTGATTTCCGTCTTTGTAGCGAGCTGCTAGCGTTAGCTCGTAGCGTCCTCGTAGTTGTTCTCTGGCCTGATCTACCCAGGTGCTATCTCAGTGCAGGAGGCCTTTAGTTGAAATCTGGATTTCAAAACAATAGCCCAACGACCCCGTCTCATTCGCTTTTGCTTAATCCAAATGGCTGTTTCTCCATCCGCCCTGCAGCAGTCGTCAAATGAGATATTTTTTGCCTAGGACCGACCATCTGATAGTCGATTCCTAAGATCAACAGACCCCTTCCATTAATCTTCAGACCGCAAGGGAAACTCCAGTCATGCATCCACAAGGCCCGCCTCCGAGCGCCTCTCATTGGGCAAAATATCCGATACTTGCGCGACATGGACCGTCATCCGAGCTCCCATTGGCTACGACTCAATATATCCAAGATTTGCATCCTGCGATTGGTCAGTCAAATAAGGCCCGCCTCTCAAGTACAGTATCAGTCAGCAAACGATAAACTGTATTTTCTATTTTAAAGATATCTCAGTCAAAAATTAACTCCCCATTTAAAATCCCACCCTGCTTGATATATTTTTCATTAATGAGTGCAATTATTTAAATCCAGTAGTGTAAAATAAAATAGCCCTGCCTTTATACAGCTACTTAATAGTGTAATATATTATTGACAAATTAGATCTTGTAAACTGTAAACATTATGATAAAAACAAGATGTATTAGTGGTTTGTTGGAACAGACTGAACAATTATTAATTTCATTTTGAATACAAAATTGCAACATAATCTATATGTTGTAAAAATTGATAAAGCCTGAAAAATGAAAAATTGAAATCCAATTTATTATTTAAATCCAGAACAGAAAAACACACATCAAAAACAGCTGAATACTGTCCTATTGCTTCAAAGCTGATTCATTATATTGCAATATTGCAACCCCTTTGCACAACAAAAGGAGAATAAAAGAAATGCAACACAACATTTTTGTCATGTTCCCCTTTAGCTGCACTGTCTTCCCTTCCCCAACAGAAAATACACGACCCGACCCTTGTAACAAAAGGACTTGTCATCTAGTGCAGCACCTACCACAGCGAGGTATTCATAAAGTGAAGTCCGGGTAACTGACTGAAATAAACTAGTGGCAGTTGTAAGGCAAAGGGATGTTTGTAACTTTACACTTAATGTCCATAGGCATTTTAGTAGGATTTGTGGTTGACTTGTCACCATAAACACAGGTGTCACTTCTACAAGCAGTCCATGGAGTTATCAGGAAGTATTCCCATGGGCGGTGCCTTTCCTGGGAGACAGGACGGTGGAAGCATCGAGTTCGATGATGGGTCAACATTTTCACAGTCTTCCATTCGCTCTGCAGTGCCCTCCCAGTTTATGTGAAATCTTGTAACACGTGGGTTTGAAGCCAAAATATTTCTCTGGAGCTTTAGGACAGACAAAAATAAATTATATTAGTATAAATAAATTGTGCAGGTGGAGAGTAATTTGAAGATATCAATCTCTCAATAAAAATATAATATAAACCAACCTGTGTGTAGTCTGGTTTGATTGGTGGATTTTCTCGGAGCTCAGGGTCGGTATATTCATTGTTGACATAATAACCAATACGAATAAACTCTTGTCCACGGTAAGTGCAGGTGATGAGAACCACAGTGACACCGACTGCATCACTCTCAGGGATTAATCCAGTGTTTGGAGCATCAGCCTGTTGTCAGAACCATCAGAAGAAAGAGTGTAAGTGCAAAAGAAGAAACATTAATGTAGGTTGAAAAAAGCCAAAACACTCAAGCTTGTGACATAAATACAAAGTTAAATGGTACGTCATAAAGACAAATATATAAGTAAATTTTAAGTGCAATTTACTCTCTCGATCCACTTGACAATGAAATAGTATAACAGACATATAAATCCACACCCATAATTTATATAACAATAATTTACAAATGTTGCCACATTTTAGTAAAAATGGATGGTAAATGCCAACTTTACTTTTATTATTGCCTTATTAAAAAATAATTTAATAAATACCTGAAAAACAAACATATGCCTCCCAGCGGGGACAGGGCCAACCAGCACCGAGTCAAGCACCTGGTCATATTCTTCACTCTCTGCTGAACCAACGTAGATAATCTTCCACTCCAAATCTGTAAAAAAAAAAGAAAAAAGTTAACAACATTAATTTTTTTCTTGTAAAGAATAGTAACCCAACTAGTACATTTATAAAGATATAAGGTTTAAGTCCATAAAAATTATAGGACACATTTTTCTTTGTTTAAATATTATTCGTGACATGGGAGGTAGAAAGAAAAACTAATAAACAAATATTCAAATCAAGAGGTTGCGGTTTCTAATCCACAAGACGGCATCATGACCAGGCTTTTGCTGTAGACGTGCGCACGTACAGAGGACTAAATTATGGAGCTAAATTATTTTAAAACGTGAAGACGTGAAGTTAGCATGGGAGCCTCTTGTTAGCAGTTAGCATTAAAATAACCAGGGTAATGTGTACCTTCTGGAAGATCCTCCATACACTCAAAGGTTATTTCAAACTGGAATGGGTTCCCAAAAGGACTCGGATTATCCAAGACGGCCACATTTAACACTTGGACCTTCGCCATTGTCTCTGGAGCGGTTAAAAAGTAGTGGCTAGCTTAATCCAAAACAAATCCAACACCAGATCCACGGGGATAGTTTTACAAGCAATATTCCAACACAATAAACTACATTAAGCCTATAACAACAGGTAGAGTGAGTTAGTATAAATATTTAAATAATCAAATAGTTATGAAAAAGGAATTAACGCAAAAAAAAAATCACACAATTTTAGTCATAAAGCTGTGTACATTTGTCTACTCTCCCGCCGCTTTGACAGTTCTACCCATGTTCCACCGCGCCAACGTCGCGCCGTGCGTCTGGCGTAGCTGCGTGCGTAAAAAACGTGATTTCTGTCGCCCTCCAGCGGTAGTGTTCAGAACTGCAGAGAAGAACAATGCGCCCTTTTCTTGGAGCGCGTTAGTGTAATCTGTAATTATAGTAAATAAAAGGATCTTTGTGTTTGAATACTGCTTAACTCTATTCTGATCTCTACTCCTTTTACCACGTCACTGAAAAATGTGTCACAATAAGATCATGCATCCTTTCTGTTTTTATTCTAAGTGTTCATATCATCCTTATTCAATCTCAGTTTATGAAACAAATGCATTGTAGTTTATCTTGATGAGAGTATAGTTAAAAAAAAAAAAAAAAAAAACATTATCTGACATACATTTAAATCAACCACTTGATATTTTCAGAGAATGGCATTAAATCTATCCAAGATGTGTTAGTCGCTCAAAACACCTTTAAATTGCATGCATTCTTTCCACGAGCAGGATCAGATCACCTCTCCAAAGTTCTAAGCTGTAATTTAGCCTGGAGTTGTCATCTGTTTGTCTTGATGAAGATGGAAATAACTTTAAAGCTATACAGTGGAACATTTCAAGCAAAGCAATTGCATCTATGAGACCAGCAGATGGTTGATCCTCCTCGAAATAAAAATGTGCACCTTTAAGTAATCTAAATCTGTTATGTCTATTTGAAAATCTTAGCTGCATAGGTTAGACCTACATAGGCTGTCTTGTCTTAAGTTTATAAAGCTCAGTGGGTGGTTTTCATCTGCTGAGAGCATGAAAACTTCAGACCCAATATTATACCAGTAAGCACCGAATATTTTCTGTTCCCTTTGGGTTTAGGGACGGATTATAGCCAGTGAACCAGCTGGCAGTCAAATTCATCCTTCAAAAATGTTAGGAATGTTGATATCCTCTCTTATATTTGGACCTCTGAAACCTGTTGGGGGCGCTGTTATAGCCTGTACCCCTGCTGTTGTAAGGTTTGCACCAGTGAGCAGCAGGTTGCTAGGTAAACGCTCTTTAGGGAGAGGAGTCAAACAGAAAGTGGGAGTAAGGCAGTAGGCTGGAGTAGTGCTTCATTATCTTCTTCTGTTCTTGTATTAAATAGACAGACGTTCAGTTCTTTCAGTGACATCAGGCATGAGTCATTTTAATACAGTACATTGCCGCTGGTTTGATAAGTTTTCAGGAGCAGCATAAGAGTTTGATCTGCCTGACTGAACCTACCACTCCTTATACAAAGGATCTTCTGTCTGTCTGCACGGCTGCAGGTAGATCACCGCTCTCAGGTAACATGAAACTGCGTCACGTGACCTATGGCGTTTTGAAGAGTATGCTTTTTGAAAAAAAAAAAAAACTGTTTTACATATTATACCAACGGGTGGTAGAGCAGCTGAGGATGTAGTCAGATGCGCAATGATCTCTTCAGGGCTTTTTGCGAGGAATTCAACTTGAGATGTAGTTTTTTCTTTGTGTGTTATTCGTTTTAGTTGGTGGAGGTGAAGCGGAAGCGACATGGTTGTTCAGGAATCAGCCCACTGGACGTTTCCCTTTTTGAACCAAACAACGGCGCTCTAGGGCTAAAAGGTGAGTGCACCTGTTGCGCTGTGGAATTATCTTAAAATCTATTATACTGGCTTTATTATAGTGGGATTATAAAGTATAACCTATAAGCAGTAGGCTCCAAACTAAGAAAATAAAGGTTTATATATTTTATAGCTTCTATTAGAGATTCAGACTTTACAAGTTTGTTATGAAAAAAATAGGGGGTGGCCTTGGCTAGTTTTGTGATTCAACACCAGGCTGTCTTATTCACTCTGACTCACAGTAAAACTTCTTCTAAAATCTTACTAGTAATATTTTTTGTTCCAGACGTTTCAATGAAAAGCTGTAAACCCATTCAACATTCAAGTAGTGATTGTTTGTTGAATTTGAGATGAGCCCAAGCTGATGCCATCCCAGTGCCTTTCTGCCCCTCCTAGTGCCTGTGTGGTGGCAGGTAGAGATGGCAGCGTGTCCGGATGTACTGCCCATACCGAGACTTGTGGTTGGGGGTGTAATGCTGCTGCTACTCAACAGTAATGCAGTGTGGGGTGAGTCACAAGCCATTTATCCACTTTTATTCTACGTTTCTGACCACGGCTACAGTCACACACACCACTGAACCCACTGATGAGAAATAAAAAGATTACGTAGCATTCCTGAAAGAGATACATGTTGGGACCTGTTAGTTTAAAAAAAAAAAAAACAAGACTGTTATCCAGATTACATTTAGAATATTAAACAATGGATTAGACCTTCTCTCTCCTGTTCATGGTTCCTGTAGTTGTTATCAGGTTGTACTTTTGCCCTTGGATAGTTTACTGTGGTAGAAGTAAATCATTCACTTGGAACTCCTCAGTGTGTGGTTTTAGTTTAATCAATAGGTCCCAAAAATCTAGAGAGGCAAAGCTAAACAGAAATCCTAAACATAGAATTGTTTGTTTTATTCATTTAGTTCATTCAGTTAAAAGCCTAAGCTATTTGCCTTTCAGATAAGTGAACTCCTGAGTCAGCACTCCTTAGCTACTTTGTTGTTTTGTTATCACACGGGTGCTCATAACTGATTTTGCAGTGTTGAGCACTTGCCAGCGTGCAAAGAGAACAAAAGGAAAAAACAACAATGCACGTACGTCAAGACACCATAGATGTTCTACTTCAAGTGCAAATGTTTTTTTTCCCTTTGTCATTAATGTTATCGAATAAGTTTCACAATATTTAGACCAAGTAAGAAAATATCTGACCAGATACCACCAGATCGAAACCATATCTACAACAGGACAATTCCTAAACTAGGGTTTGGTCTAAGCTAGAGCTAAACAAACCAGATTGATAAAATTATTACAACGTTTCTAAGATATAACCCAAAGGAGAACAAAACTGTGGATAAAATGGAAATAAAAAAACTTGCAGCCCAAATATCCCTCGAAAGAACTTACGTGTCACCTGTGGTACACGTGCCACAGTTTGAGAAACACTCATTTGGGCTATTTTGTTCTCGCATGACTGCTTTATAACATAACAGCTCAATATAAATTAGATCACACGCACATCTCACTAACACCCTGCCACACAGGAGTTTTTACTACCTTGTTATAACAGTGGTAGTTATGCACCATTTTATACTTTTTCTTCCAGGAAATTACACCCTGTTTAGATCTGAAACACGCTCAAATGGGACCAATAATGCAAGTACATCTTTCACTTTTTCATCTATATTATTTGATGGCTTATACTAAAATCCTTGTTGCTCTATTAGGGGCCCAACATTGCAGCCATTGTAGCCCCGACTGTGACCCTGGGACTTCTTGCCATAGTGCTGGGTGTAGTGGGATGGCTGTTCTGTGTGGTGAAGAAGAAGAGGCAGACTGAAGGTACTTACAGGCCCAGTGCAGAGGAGCAGTCTGGGGCCAAAAGTGTTGTGACTCCAGATGCACTGAAGCTACCCAAAGAGGAGAGACTCATTTGACATTTCATAGGACAATCTTTAAAGGACACGACAGGTTGAAGTTCTCCTGAAAGACTCCAAAGGTGGTTCTACAAAGTGCCTTTTTGAGCCAACTGAAGAAGAGGTATTCTTGTTCCCCCTCATTTCAACTTCCAATGACAATTTCATGTGTGTACTAAACGTACTTGGACTTATAAACAACAAGCAAGTGGAATGAAGACCTTTTTGGTACAAATTAACACATTTCAGTATTTTATTAGCTAAACGTGATTTCTTCTTTCTCTCTGTTTACCATGTTCCTGCACCTGTTTCTCAGCGTTAAGGACTTCTGCTGTATAATTACCTCACTTTCTTGAATAATTTACTACTGAGTCTAATGCATCTTATGATGTAAAACGTTGATTGTAGATATGGACTTCATTTAAAATGAGGCCACACTGAATAATAGAAGACAAGCAATTGTTTACACTTCAAGTATTGTCTCCAAACATTTCTATTTGATAAAGTTATTTATCTGATTAGCACTGCAGTGCCTATGCCTTATCTAATCAAGTAAAATTGTACTTCTATGTAAAATTTATTTATGCTTTATTTGAAATAAACAGACATAATAATATTTTTAATCGACTCAGGACTGTATTTAGGTTTCATATAAACATGTTTGCCTCCCTTTTATCCCAATAGAACAATGAAGTATGTATAGGCTTGTTACCACTAAAAGATATAAAAGTAATTCAATAATGAAAAGCATATCCATTGTAATGGCTGATTCAGTCACATAATACAGTATAAGGCAAAAACTATTAGTACAAAAAAGACACAAAAAACACAAAGGCCTTCAAATCATATTTAATGTTTCTCCAATAACAAGGCTCCAGTTATAATGACTTGCTTTTTTGTTCGACAAGGCAATGACAGGACAAAGGATGTTGATGATCAGTGCATTCACAGCATACAAAAACACTACCAGATTACACTAACGTCTAACACTAGAGCAATAGTGATCTAGATGCTTCTTCTCTCAGTGTGCGATGGACCGTTCCATTTCATGATGATGGGGGGATGATGATGGAGAGCTGGATGGGCATAATAAGATTTGGCAGCGGGCTTGGATGATAAACTTATGCGACCTCTTCCTCTCCTTCCTCCTCAAACTCACCCTCCTCGGCGGTGGCATCCTGGTATTGCTGGTATTCGGACACCAAGTCATTCATGTTGCTCTCAGCCTCAGTGAACTCCATCTCATCCATACCTTCACCTGTGTACCAGTGGAGAAAAGCCTTACGACGGAACATTGCAGTGAACTGTTCGGAGATGCGCTTGAACAGCTCCTGGATGGCTGTGCTATTGCCAATGAAAGTGGCGGCCATTTTGAGGCCACGTGGGGGGATGTCGCATACGGCGGTCTTCACATTATTGGGGATCCACTCCACAAAGTAGCTGCTGTTCTTGTTCTGTACATTCAACATTTGCTCATCCACTTCTTTCATAGACATGCGGCCACGGAACACTGCCGCCACGGTGAGGTACCGTCCGTGGCGTGGATCGCAAGCCGCCATCATATTCTTGGCATCAAACATTTGCTGGGTGAGCTCAGGCACGGAGAGGGAGCGGTACTGCTGGCTCCCCCTGCTGGTCAGAGGAGCAAATCCAGGCATGAAGAAGTGCAGACGTGGGAAGGGCACCATGTTGACGGCGAGCTTGCGGAGATCGGCGTTCAGTTGCCCTGGGAAACGGAGACATGTGGTGACCCCGCTCATTGTGGCTGACACCAAGTGGTTGAGATCTCCATAAGTGGGGGTGGTGAGTTTGAGGGTACGGAAGCAAATGTCATACAGAGCTTCATTGTCAATACAGTAGGTTTCGTCGGTGTTTTCGACCAACTGGTGCACAGAGAGAGTGGCGTTGTAGGGCTCCACCACCGTGTCAGACACCTTGGGGGAAGGCACTACGCTAAAGGTGTTCATGATGCGATCGGGGTACTCCTCACGGATCTTGCTGATGAGAAGTGTACCCATACCCGACCCAGTGCCTCCACCCAGAGAGTGGGTCATCTGGAAACCCTGCAGGCAGTCGCAGCTCTCCGCCTCCTTCCTCACCACATCCAGGACTGAGTCTACCAGCTCAGCTCCTTCAGTGTAATGCCCCTTGGCCCAGTTGTTACCAGCACCGCTCTGACCTGGTTAGCAAGAATGAGACAATGGAGTTAACATAAACATAAATGAGATCATTTGCACATATTATTATCTTTCAATTTATCTTTTATGATGATTTTCATGCAGAAACATATTATGATTGGAGTGTGGAGACAGGATCATATAAGTGCAAGATCTGAACCAGTAACTCACTGACACCACTGTAACCTAATTTGCAATTTAAATATTTCTGTATTAGACTTACGGTATGTATTTTAATTTTACCAGTGAACTTTAACTGTATTTCATTCTAATCTGGATATCCTAATTCTACTTACCAAAGACAAAGTTATCAGGTCTGAAGATCTGCCCAAATGGACCAGACCTGACTGAGTCCATGGTACCGGGCTCCAGATCGACCAGGATGGCACGGGGCACATATTTCCCACCTGAGAGCAAAACAATGTAAAAATCTTTCAACGAACAGTGAAATGATGGGGGATGGTCCATGGCCCTTCACCTGTGGCCTCGTTGTAGTACACGTTGATCCGGTCTAGCTGCAGATCGCTGTCGCCATGGTAAGTGCCGGTGGGATCGATGCCATGTTCATCACTGATCACCTCCCAGAACTGAAAAAGAGCAAAAAGGTGTGGGTCAGTACATGTTATTACAGTGGAAAAGACCAAAAGACCAGCATTTGACACAATCACAATATCCTATTTTTATCCAGGCAAAGCTATTTAATCCCTGGGTTAAAAGCAGGGTATAAGTGGACTTTATTAGATTGAAACAGATCTCAGGATTAAACAGATAGCAGTAGTCTGAAAGGTGAACGAGTACACCCTTGTTAGACGTGTTTGAAATGTTGATATGAAAAAAACAATGGGGTTACATCATGATTAAAAAATGCGTGACGTGATGATCCAAAATCGCAGGGTTAAAATGGGTGTGTAAGGCTCTTTAATGGAAATAGGTCACACGGTTGGCTAAATGTGGGGGAGGGGAGAGATGCCGCCTCGGTCTCAATAAGGTTGCATTTTCATTCATTCTTTCGAAGGATACTTCTAGTAGCCTGTGCCTTGTTCCCACCTTGCAATAAGTAATAGCCTATATCAAATAAATATAAACCAGATGTTGATGTTGCACGTTTTTGTTTGTTACGTAACTATGCAAATAAGCGTGGGTTGTGCAAGTGTTGGGCATTTAAAACACGGTCGTTTGAATTCTAGGTTGAAAGACATAAATTAAGATAAAATAAACTAAGGATAAACTAAGATATTAGTTAAGGAGCGTTTAAGAAAGCGTCATTAACTTCATCTTTGGTCCCTTCCAGAAAAATCTTCGATGATGAGACGCACTTCCTAATGAAAGCCGGCACACGTCTCTCCATAATATTACTTTCAAGACATCTAAAAATGCACACAAAAACATGAATTACCTTGGCTCCAATCTGGTTTCCGCACTGGCCGGCTTGCAAATGCACAATCTCGCGCATTTTGGACGCAGATACGGGCGAGCGAGGAGGACAGAGAGGCTTGTGCTGCGGAGATGGGGGATGAGAGAATCACAGGAAAGTGGCTGCTCCTTGCGGTGGATCGGTCCCGGATTTGGTCGCGCCGCCTCTCGCTCCGTTTACTTGGCTGAAGCGGTGGCGCTACCTGACGTCATCGCCATGGCAACCACAGAGCGGAGGAGAGAGAGGGGAGGGACCACGTGCAGGGTGAGCGCAGAGGAACGAGGAAAGGATGCGAGAAAGGTGTCATCGTCTACAGGCCATCATTATCATCGTCATCATCAAGGTACTCGGCGTACTTAAAGTGCAGTATCCACACCCCAGCCTGAGGCAAACACGGCTCTACTAGCACCACGAGCGTTTTGGCGCGAAGCCATTTAAGCTACTGAGGTTAAATGTCATAGAGCCGCACAGGGTCAGGGGTAACATTATGTTCAATCCCTATTCCCTAGCTTCAAATTAATTGCATTATTAGTGCACTACTTTCATTCCGAACATACCGTAGAAAGATCTGAACTGCTTATCAATAACATAATAGGTAAAGCCACAACGTGTAACTTTTTCGCCAAAAAACGACCTAGATTAAAGCATGTTTAGATGTATTCACAGAGAATGTTTCAAAGTGTAGATTTAACTTTCAATTTCATTATTTAGGCAACTTTTCCTTTCCATTAACTTTAGACATTAATGTCACTGAACAACTGTGAATTACCCCTTTATTACTCTTTAGTCAATGTTTCGTAATGTTTAATTTAATAATTAATGAATTACCTAAAGTCGCCAGTTTGCTGTGACATCAGATAGACATTTGGAATGTGCCGCTGATAAGTGACTCTTCTCTCCTCAGATCTCCTGACTTTTCTATATTTATCCCCTGCACACCCACTTTTGCAGCTGTTTTTTTAACAACTGCTATTTGAGCTATTTCAGTTTTCCAAATGTGTGTACTGTATATGGTTGATAAAAATGACCAAATTAAGGGCAATATATACATTATTTTAAACCGTTTTGGGGGTTGCAGAATCAAGAATGAACAAAACAAAATCAAAACAATCACTGCACAACCTCATCTATTTAATGTGTAATTATTTATGTAATAGATAATTAGGTTAGACAGTCGGGTAACTGTCATAAACGTGTTTTACTGGTTTAGAGGATCAACAGAGAAGAGTGCTGAAATCTACCATACATTGCTTTTCATTTAACAATACTATATGTTTAATTTGGTTTCAGATTACAAAATATATGATTTTGTTTTGCTTAGTTTAGTTTAGTGTAGTTTTAAAAGTACATCCTTGTGCCTATCCTGACTGATTGCATTCCAAACATGCTGCAAGTTAACAGCAGGTTTAAAGTTATCTAGCAACTGGCCAATGAGCTTTGATTTCCTGTTTCCCAGTCGGGGCTCATGTGCTGTTTGTCACAGTCCTGCATGCGTTACTCCCATAGAAGACATGCCCAGGGAAACCAGCACTTTATTACAGAGACAATAGGGCAGCTGTGAGGAAACGGGCTGATGAATGAGGGGATAAGACTCGAGCGACTTAACATTTGTTTGTTTGGTTTTGTTTTGGATCATGTCACTTCCAGAGGAGGACCTTACTTGCCCGGTCTGCTGTGACATCTTCACTGACCCTGTCCTCTTGTCATGCAGCCACAGCTTCTGCAGGATCTGCCTCAAACGCTGCTGGGAAACGGGCATGCGAGAATGCCCCGTGTGCCGCAAGAAGGCGCCCAAAACCTGCCCTCCATCGAACCTGGCTTTAAAAAATGTTTGTGAAGCTGTAGTTGAAGCGAAGAGGAAATCTATAGTAGTGGAAGATCTCACTGTTTGCTGTCTGCATGGGGAGAAATTGAAACTATTTTGCTTAGTGGATAAACAGCCAATTTGTGTTGTCTGCCAGTCTTCAAAACTCCACAAAACGCATGATTGCTCACCCATAGAAGAAGCTGTGCTGGATTGCAAGGTAAGGAGTATTAAAATAACAAGTGCACTGTGAAAAAATGCCCAACTGTTCTGTAAGGTAACACCTAATGGTAGAATGCTGCTCCACTAGTCCACCAAGGCATCCACTCCTCTCTCTCTATGCTAAAGTTACATTATGATATGTTATGTTATGGCTTAATTGCTACGTTGTTGTTTTTTCTAGGATGAACTTTCTATTTCCCTCAAAAGCCTGCAAGATAAATTGGAAGAACTCAAACGGATACATAGGACATCTGCTGACTTGTTTTCGCACATCAAGGTACAAACTGATTTAACCAGCTTCGATGAAACTGAAAGTAGTTTACATCAGTTATCTTTGTTATTATTTTAGAGTCAGTCCACGGATGCCCAGAAAGTTATCAAAAGTCAATTTGAAGAACTGCATCAAATCCTAAAACAGGAAGAAATGGTCAGATTAGCAGCGGTTAAAAAAGAGGAACAAGAAAAAATCGCAAGAATGAAAGACAAAACACGAGAGCTGTCAGCTGAAGTGCTGTGCCTCTCCGAAACAATAGCCCTGATACAGAGGGAACTGAAAGAAGAGGATATGGTTTTGCTAAAAGTAAGTATGTGGCAACTGATTTAAGTAGTTCTTTAAAACTGTGTTTAATATTTTGTGCATCTCATCCAAATTCTGTTTTGTTTTCAGAATTTTAAGGAGACTCATGACATGTAAGCAATGGGCATTTTTATTTGACATTTGTGTACAAAACCGTGATAGTACCTCAATAGTATAGTTATAATAGTTCACATGAGTAGTACTGTTGAATGTATTTTGCATTTATTTATTACATTTATTTATTTATTTTTTTAACTTTTTTACCGTTACAGTGCTCAAAAACCTGATTCAACTAAACTAATTAACTTTTAACTTAACTAACAGTTAACACAAAATAACTATATCTACTAGTTACATTAATTGTGTTTTGTTGTTGGAAAGCAACAGAATTATTGTGATTATCGCAGTGCTGTCAAGTTATGACTTATTTACTCATATATAAATAGTTTCCAAGGGAAATTTGAAGTGTAACAACAGAACCAAAAAATAAGCTCTAAAATCCTCTTGATAGGTACAATTTATAGTTATTACTATTAACACTACTACTACTTTTTTTTTATTTGAGAAACTTTCTTTGACTTAGACTTAGAGACTTAGAGACATAGAATTAGACAAACTTTACTGATCCACAGGGGAAATTATTTGGACACAGTAGCTCATACATCACACTACCACTGATCAAACTTTCCTGTTGTGTCAACAGGAGCAAAAGCATACCCCTGGGTTCGGACATGACAGGCGCCCTCATAGATGTAACCAAGCATCTGTGTAACCTCAAATACAGAGTATGGGAGAAAATGCAGGACCACATAGACTATAGTAAGTAGCTTTGGCATTGACTTTCATTGTATTACGCACTTAAAGATTTCATTCCTTTGGTGTGTCTGACTTCCTGTGTTTTTTTAGCTCCAGTGACATTGGACCCAAACACTGCCCACCCTTGCCTCATCCTGTCCGACGATCTCACTTCCCTTCACTACTCTCGCCAGCCCCTCTCTTGTCCAGACAACCCCGAACGCTTCCACATGAGTGCCGAGGTAGTGGGCATGTCCTTGCTCGGGTCAGGAAGTCACCACTGGACTGTAGAAACAGAATCCAATCAGGACTGGCTTCTGGGAGTGGCGTCTTTGTCCGTACCGAGGAATTGTGAGGTCTTGGCACGTCCTGAGAATGGATTTTGGACGTTGTGTTTCAGGGATGGAGAATTTCTGGCTATGACCTCACCTCCAGTCTCCTTGACACTGTCCAACATTCCCAAGCAAATCAAGGTGGAACTAGACTACAATAAGGGAGTGGTGTCTTTTTATGATGCTGGAGATGATATGCTTATATATGCCTTTACAGACACTTTTAAAGAAGCGTTGCTTCCATATTTTTACACTCAAAGCAGTCACCCTTTGAGGATAATGCCACAGAAGGTACTTGTGACAATGTTACGCCACTGACCAATTTGTGTATTATTATGCAACTAAACATGCTTAATATAATGCCTTGAGGTGGTGAAATGTATAATTAGGGAGCGTCAGTTATAGTTTTAAGACAAGGCAATAAAAACACAGTATGACCATATGGGCTTATAACAGGGCGGATGCTGTGAGCTATAAACACTAATGAAGAATGTACTAGTATAAACACAATAATGAGATCTTATAAAATAATACATTTGTATAGCAGCAGATGTTTAAAATATTTTTACTGTGTATCAAATGCATTTATTTTCTGTATGAGCCTATTGCACTGGTTTTATGCACTGCACGAGCCATATGTTCATGGATATATCAGGGTTTTATACTGTACTTTTACTTAAAAAATTATGAATTCTTTATAATATAAAAGTACAAAACTGTGTTTGTTTTTACACTGTTTAAGAAGACCTTAGCTCAAAGTCAACAAATGCCTGGGTAGAAGTATTTTTAGGTCTAATAGAAGACCAAAAATTACCCATCCTCAAACAAGATGAAAAAAAGAATAGGAAGTAAATGCTTTAGTGATGTGTGTGCACATGATGGCGCCAAAGATCAGAAAATAGAAACCGCCTCGCTGTAAGAGACCACGCACATGTGCTGCTGTGTCGTTGCAATGATCTGAGTTTATTCCTTTCTAAGTAGAACATTTTTAAAAAGATGAATAAACGAAGGGACACAATGTTGTAGATATTATAATGCATATTTAATTATGCAAATCAGTGCTATGTTCTAAATATTAGTGTCTATAGTACAGCACTATACAGAATAGTATAGATCTGATCTCAGAAGCTAACCACAGTTGGGCTACTAGTACTCGGATGGGAGACTGCTGGGAATACCAGGTGCCACAGCGGGACAGCAGTGACTAGTGCAAACTAGTTTTGTGGCCTCAGGCAAGACACTTCACCCACATTACCTGGTATGTGTGCTGTGTGAGTATTTGATTTGTGGTGCATGCGGGGCTGATTGCACAGATTGGCACCCTTGCCTCCAAAAGTCTGCCCCAGGACAGTGACTACAACATAAACTTACCACCACTGAGTGTGTGGTGAATGAATAAAGCTCAAAATAGGAAATGCAACTTTAAGTATGTCAAAAAAAAATTGCTAACTAATGGATTATTATAGTATAGCATGTTTATTCTGGCTACTGTTTTATGGATGTGACAACCTGTTGCCACTAGATGGAGTCACGAGTCATGCTCCAAAATACACATCTAGAATTTTCAGTGCTTAAATATAATACACTCATGCTCAAGTTTAAAGTGATGCTCTATGCTTGATTGTTTTGTGCCTTTTGAGTTTCATTATTCTTTGGTTCACAGCAGGAGCAGAACCTCTTCACACAGTTGTCAGGTAGAAAAGGCACTTTCTCCAGGCGTGATAAGTAAACCAGGGGCTGTATTGTACTGCTAATATTGAGAAAAGCAAAACCCACTGGCTGCACATAGCAACGGAAAACATCTGGAGTGTAGTAATCTTCAAATGGGAACATAGCCACAGGGGGAAGATAGTTACAAATGATAATGCATAAAATGGAAAGAACTATTTTAAAAGCTCTTCTTTTCATCGGATGCATGTCGTCTTTACCAGCGCCACGTGATTTCTTCAGGGCGTGAAGAATGCAAGCGTTACATAAGATCATCCAGGTAAAAGTGGCTAAGATTTCACCTGTAAATACCTTTTCAAAATTAGGCAAGCCACCAACTGTTTTAGCAGCTGAGTATGCAAAGGTTAACAAAAACACAATTACTGTAAGAACAGCCCTGTACATCATTGGTTTTAGCTGACCAAAAAAAACTGGAAAGACAACAGCGAGAAAGCGATCCAGACATATACAAGACAGGAAAAGTGGCCCGCTAGTGTCTTTTACACCATAGGCAAACTTGATAGAAGACCAAACTTCTTTACTATGCCAAAGGTAAAAGTTGAGAAAACTTATAGGAGGGACTATGCCAAAATATGCATCCAAAAAAGCTAGACAACCCAGGAAAATGTCAGATGTTGAGGGCTCTTTGCGGTTTTGAATGAGAACACAGATGACCAAGATGTTTGCAGGGATTCCTATAACAACATTGAAAACTTGGAGAGTGAGATCAAACAGGATGCCCTCCACTTGGTGCTCGCAGCCTTCAAAGACACTGAATTTGGTTGTGATGTTCGGGTCAGAGGTGGCGTTCACAGGCCAAGAAGTGGAGTTGGAGAGAGAAAGCTCTGATGCCATGTTTTTCTATAAATAGAGGAAAATACAGGATTAGACTTACACTTTAAATGTATTGATCCAAAAGGGAAATTATTTGGACACAGTAATTCATGATATATTATAATAACAAAGAGCAAAAATATAAATGGCAACAATAAATTCAAAATAAATAGCAAAAAAAGCAGGGGACTGGTAAATAGGGCATAATTTTAAAGTTTAAAATTATGTTTTAAAACTGAAGAGTTCAAAACAAGAAAAGTAATTGCTTTTTAAATTATATTTATTTTTTTGTGAGCCACTTAGACTTGAAATGTATCATCCTTGAAGTATTATGAAATAAAAAAATATTGGAAAGGGACACTTTTACAATTCTATGAAATCTTCAGTTGGAACTCAAGGCCAAAAAGAGTTACAGAAATACAGTGAGTGGTGTTTAAGGAACAATTTCTGGGTTGCAATTTCAGTTATTTTTTTCATTAAATGAATTCTAAAAGCATATCTGCGTTACCTGAAACCTATGATATGATGCTTAAAGGTGCATTGTGTAGCGTTTCTGGTGGAGAGTCTGCCACGTCGTGTCTACATGGAGATACTATTGCTTTGCCTGAAATGTTCAACAATGTAGCATGATACTGTATTTATATGCTTAAAGTGTCCATGCGTTTTTACAGTGAGTACAATCTGACATGTAACTTGTCTTGGTGGTGTCATCTACTTGTCTCCATGGAAATAAATGCTTTTAATGCCTTGCTGTGCAATTTTCTTGGCAAAGCAAAAAACATCTTCATGGAAACTGTTACCTAGTGCACAATGAATAATGTTGGTCACATTAAGAATGAAACAGAAAATGTATCAGGCTGAGAAAAAAATGATCCTAATCACACATTTGGTATCCTGTGATTATGATTTGGGTGCACAGTTATAATTGTATGTTTGTGTTTTGATTGTGATTTCTTTTCCGATTAGGCACTAGCACTTATTATTAAGGGACACAGAGCGGTCAATCCAATTTTATCATGTTTTTTAGTCATACGCATTTATCATTCAAAATATATAAAACCATGTGGCCTATCATTATGTGTTAAAACCACCAGCTTAATGTGTATCTTTACTCTCTCAGAATGACCCCATGTCCATTACAACTGTTTATGTTTTGAACTTTGTCACCATAGAAACTACAGACAGGCAAAACCCAGGATGAGCTTCAGTTTGGGAAATACTGTGGCCCTGTTATCTGATATTGATAAATCTTCTTAAACCATTACGCAATCACTTTTACTCTTCTAAATTTTAACTGCAATATTGATACTTTGCAGGAGATGTCATCAACATTCTGGGGGGTTGTGATGCTAACTGTAGACACTGCTCTCCCGTTTCTAAAGCTACACTTTAATCTGAACAGGTGAGATTATTGTTACTTAAACAAGACTCTTACACTTAAAATTATAGTCATCAGCTAGCTAGCAGTTTCTTAGTCACTCTCACCAGTTCTGTTGAAAATCAAACACCGAAACAGGACCATGGATGCTCATATTGATCACAATCTCCTGAAAATGTGCTGTTTAATAACATTTTTCTTGGCTAAAAACTTTTTTGTTTGGAAATGTATGCATTGTGTCACCATGGCAACTGATGCAGATTCCGTCAATAGATATACATGTAGAAACCTCCCAGCGTGATGTCTCTGCAAAGTATCAATGGAGAAAATCTTTGCTACTCGCTTCACCGGTCAGTGGCCACAATTTCATACCTGACAGATGTCTCCTCCATATTGTTTTTTATTAGTCTTTCCATTTTTAACCATGACCAGTCCCAGCAGAATCAAACTACATTTCCCAAAGTGCCAAAAACACATTTAAAAACACAGTGAGGGCATTGTCCCGAGGCTGTTTTCGAGTTGTTATTGTTTAGGTCTACAGGGACCTGTAATTCACTTATGGGAGCAGGGCCACTAGCACGTCCCTCTCTCTGCAGCATAAAAGGCCAGCGATTGTCAGATTAAAATGGCAAAGTCACCACGAAGAGCAGGGATTAACTTTGGGAAGGTCAGGTGGAATGTGGATATTTTTAGATTTCTAAAAAAGTTGGTTTTGCTGCATTTGGCAGGATTAAAGTTTGATTCAATGGCTACTGACGATTAAAGTTAATAGAATTGCTCGTTTACCAGTCACAGTTTTCGGTTGTCTTTTACTGACGGCATTTTAATTTCTTTAGACTGTTCAAAAGATTTTGACCTATTAATTGCAACACTCTTCATTATTCATCACTGTAAAACTCGTGGCTAGAATAAACGATTATATTGGTTGGATTGGTTTCTTTTTGTAATTAGGAATAACTTTGACCTTGGCTTTGTAATTTGTTACCATGCTGCTGCTACTGTCTGGACTTGTGTTTCTCACCTCTTGCTCTCCGCTGGGACCAATCACATTTAAACGCTCTTCTCCCTGGAGACAATGGATTTGAAATGGATAGTGCACAACAACTGGACATAGAGCAATTATCAAAAAGACATTTAACATATGATGCAACACTTAAAAGCTAAAAATGACTTGTTTGTTTATTGGCTGTCCGTTATTCAATGGTGTACCTTGTGCCCTTTTTGTATTGTTTTGTCTATGTAAACATGTGCCCCCAACTTTATAAATGGACTAGTGCTGATTTGTTGCAAAAATGCTCTATATATTCCTTGATACTTAATTTAAATTAAAAAACATATGCTATTGTTGTTTACTTACAGACTTACCGAATTACACTACAGGCCAGAAGTGGATTAATAAATGCATCAAATTTCATGAAAGTTTAAATATTTAATTTTAAATGTTCTGAATATGCAATAAACTGTACTTGTGTTACATTTTCATTCGAACTCAAATAGAATTTTCCATAGTAGTTGAATTACCAAGTTATATTTGGAAGAAACACATATGAAATATTAATTTGTTTGCAAAATTATATTAAAACAAATTGCTTATGAAAAGCCAATGAGCAATAAGCTATCAACTGTGTATGTGCAATGTAATAATGGCAGTAATACAACTCTATCCCCGATTCAAATCAACCATATTACTATACTTAATTAAAAACAAATGTTATGGATCAAAACCAATACATTATTTCAATGATATAAAAATCACTTACCACAGATGAATGGTGTGTGCCGCTGTTTTGAACAGTAGTTGTCAGTAGACGCTTTATAACTTTGATGCAGTTTTGAGAAGGGGAGGATCTTAAATCTTTCTTTAGGGAAATGTACGCCGAAAAGAGCAGATACTGCCCAGTACTGCAGAATAAAGAAACTTATTGATTCAGTCTAAAGTCCTATTTGAGTACAAGAATTTATCTCTGTAAATGCCACTTTAGGGTAAATTGGGCCTTCTTTGTTGATGGTCCCAGACAAAACAACAAGCTCCGACATATCACATTTTGGCCTTTTCAAGTCCAGTTTTGC